ATGTAAATGATTTTAATTTATATATATATATAAGCAAAATACTTCAGCTACATACGTACGTACAATTATGACAAGTGAAGCCAACCTTCAGAATTTAATGTTATGAGGTGACTTTTTTAGAAATATTATTAGTAAGTTGATATTGATTATAATCAGACCTCTCTAAATGCATCCTATAGGAATTGACAATGTGCATTTAAGAGACAATAAGAAAAAGTGCATTCGTGGAAGTTGAGTATATATATTTAGACCAGATTTTGATTGCATTTAGAGGGGTTATGTATTTAGAGAGCTGTGCATCTAGGATAATTCAGTTATATGCAGTTGTGTAGCTTATCTTCTAACCATCTTATTTATACTTCATTTTACTGACAGACCAATCCAGATGTCCATAAATATACTATCGAGAAATATTCTGTTGCAAAAACTATTACTCTTCATTAGAAACTGCTTCACAAAATGTTTATTGGTAGAGTTATCAGATTTATGCTTATTAAATAGAGCGAGATGAATAGTTATCAATTACAAGATAACTTATTAAATATATATAATTAGAAAAATGTAATAAAAAATATGTCCAATATATAATTTATGTCGTATATGAAATTAAATTTATTTCACATCAAATTTTTAGAAAATAAATGTTTGTGATTGTTTATTTGTAAAACAAATCTATTCATAATATTATGCAATTTCTACACCTTTTCTTTGTTTGATAAAATAAGTAAAATCTGTTATATAAGCACTTGCGCGCACACTATCAGCAACCCTAATAACTGGAAATGAGAAGGTTAGAATGCTTGATATTGATTTGATTCAACGCATGATAATATCAGTTACAATCATTCCTCAAACTACTAGGTCATCAAATAAGTGTTTGCTTTGTCTCTTGTTAATTTTAATACTGGTCGTCTTTCATAATCTTTTTAATATGTTCTCAGTTGGTCAAATCCACATGATGTAATACGAATAGTTTTGGTACAACAAAAAACATCAATAATATCACTATGATTGATCCCACCTTTATAGCCTAATTCAATAAGTTCCTCTATCACATCTAGCATAAAAAGAGCTCATTCTTTTAGATCACATGTTACTGCTTTATCTTTTACTTGTAGCTGGCAATTGTCACAATTATTGCATGGTGGTAGCAAAGAATCTTCATCCTATGCATGAAACGCTGCAAGTTCTAAGTGTTTACAAGAATATTTTGACTTGCAATAAAATACGACCTCCCAAATTTCTTTTTGCTATTTCGTGCTATTTCATCTTAGTATATAATATCCTATAAACTAACAAAACTTATTTATTTGAGATTTTAGATATTATACAATAATAAATATATGAATACATACCTTTCTTGATTTCCTGCAACTATTTTATACAAAGTTTTTACATCATTGCGAAAATAAAATACCACACTTTTTGCAGATAAATTATCATGCCCAGCTCTTCCAACTTCCTATATCATATTAACTAAAAGCTAATAAGGATAAATTAAGTTTAAAAAAATTTTTTTTTAAATAAAATATAATACTTGCTTATTTTTAGCAGAAATGTCCAATGAATTACTAAATGAACATCCTTAGAATTCACACCCATTCCAAAGGCATTTGTTGCAACTATCATAGGTCGAAATAAAGTATATCGGAGCCATATCGGCATTTTTTAATCCTGATATGAGCCCGATATTAAACTGAAGTTTGGCAGAAATCGGATACCAATAGGAGACCAATCGGGGTAATATCAGCATAAATATATATCGGTTAAACCGATAGCACTATAGAAATGTCGATATAGCTAGCGACGTTATATCTGATAGCTATATCGATATTTCTATAGAGCTATCGGGTTAACCGATATGTATTTATGCCGATATTACCCCGATTGGTCTCCTATTGGTATCTGATTTCTGCCAAACTTCGGTTTAATATTGGGCTCATATTAGGATTGAAAAATGCTAATATAACTCCGATATACTTTATTTCGACCTGTGTATAATTTTGATAAATCCATTTTTCCATTTTAATATTGATTGTTTTTTTTTCTATGTTTAGTCTACCATGATAACTTCCTACTTGATTAGAATCAAAATGTTGATGTAATCAGATCACTAATTCATCGCATTGCTTATGAGATACGCAATATATAATCGACCTTCCTGGTTTATTTTTACATACTAATACTATTATTTCTTTAAGTAAAATGTCTTGTGTTTCCTGTTTTTTACGAACTTCGTAACTCAAATTATCACGCCAAAATTCTGACACATGACAAATTATGAGTGAACTAGTATTAATTTTTAAGCTCTTTGTTATCACTTCTATATTAGACTTCATGCAAGTAGCAGTCATGAGTAAAAATGATGCTTGAGGACATAATATTTTTAGTTGTTCAAGATTACATCACAAATTACTAATTTAACAAATTATTTATTGTTAATAGTATGGTATTTGCAAAAACACAAAGTAATAAATATGCCACTTTACTGAAAACCTTCATAGTCCAAAATACAATGTACTTTGTCAATTATAAAGTGAATTCCTATAGTAGAAGCGATATTAATTAAAAAGGTTCTGAAGGTATTGTTGTATTCTAGTTTTTCTGGTATAGTATAAAGTATTTGAGTAATACCAGCTGCGATTTCTGTGAATACACGTTCTTGAACATGTCTTGGCTGGTCAGAGGAAGCATAAAGGCTAGCACATGGAATTCCTATTTGTATCATTTCAATCTTATATATAATAAAGATTTAAATTAAAATATAATATTCTGTTTTTTAATAATTAATTAATGCTTACTATTTGATCGTCTATTAAAGCCTTTAAAGGGCTAAAAACTACAGTTAAACCTTTGCTAATTAATGTTGCAGCTGCATAACAAAAAGTTTTATCCACACTAGTTGGCATTAATACTAATGTATTGTTTTTTTGTATAAAAAAAATAACTGCCTCTTTTTGTCCTATATGAAAAGTTTCAAATCCAAAAATATTATATAAAATATAATTTAGTGCTTGATTTAAATTAAAAGATAAATTTTTTTCTAATTTTGTAAGATAATTTTTATCCGGAATTTGGTCTAATAATCCATTTTTCAAATAAAATTTGCAAACATGACACAATCCTGCTGATCCACATCTTGGAAATGAATGACAACCAAGACACTTAGTTTTTGTATCAAAATATTTTATAAATTTTGCAAATGTTTGCCAAAATTCCTCTCGAATTATGGTTTCTTATGCTTTTTTTCTATATGGAATCAACTCTTGAGATAAATCAAAAAGCTAAAGATCATCACGTTTGGTTTTATATTCAATAGTTCTTTTTTTATTACGGCTTTCAATTTGTTCTCTTTTACATAATTTTTGGCTATTTCTATCTTTTGCCATCTTTTCAATATTTTTTAAATCTTGTTCAGAAAAACTCTTAGCTCTACAAAAATCACAAACTTGAATTAACATTTGAGTTAAACCATCATTATTGTAAATAATAGCTAAAGTATGACATGCCTTATATGATTTCTAGTAGTCAAGTAATTTGTTATTAAACATTAATTTAACTCGGTTCATTGCTTCATTATGTGCAGTTCGCAATAAAGTAACTAGTGACTGACTTGCTGATAAACGAAATATTGATTTAAGAAAATTACAAAATTCATCTATTTTTCTTATAGTAGATTTTTTTAAATTCGGTAAAGCTAATTCTAATTCCGGATTGTCTTTATACCAGCACACTTCATTCAAGCATAAAGAATGATTATCTTGCAAATGTTTTAATAATCCTTCAACTTGAAGTTCACGTAATTCTTGATCAGTAGGAGTTATTATATCTTTATTTTCTTTACAAAGATCAGCAGCATAAACACATCCATTGAAATATCGCATTATTACTTGTGAAAAATTTTTCCACGTTAAATTATTATCTAATTAAAAGAAATAAATTAAATCTTATAAATTAAATATATATCATAATTAAGAACCTCTAACTTAC